TAATAAGGTGGCATTTCAAATCATTAGGGAAATGATGGACTTTTTAATGAATAATGTTGGAAGAACTAGATAGGGATTTCTTAAGAGATTAAGTTGGAGTCATATTTCCCATAAACCACTAGAATAAACTGCAAATAGATAAGAGACTCAAAGATACAAAATAATACCATACAGGCACTAGAAATTAACATGGGTAAATTCCTTTATAAACTTAGAAAGGGGAAAGCCCTTCTAGCGGCGACACTAAATCCAGAAACGTGAAAAGAAAAGATTGATAAATAAACTTTCATATGTAAAAAAACAATTGTTTAAAGTTTGTATGTCTAAAAACAGTGTAAGCAAAATGAAAATACAGACAGAAAACTTGGAAAAAAACTATTGCAACATATATCACAATTAAAGAGCTAATCTATCTGATATATAAAGAAATCTGAAAATCCAGAAGAAAAAGGCCAAAAACCTGATAGAAGAATGGGCGAAAGACCTGATCATTCACAGTAAAATATATTTAAAAAATAATGGAAAGAGTCTCATGTTCACTCCTATTAAGAGAAATGGAAATAAAATATAGAAAGATGGAAATAAAAATTCTACTGAGACACTCTGTCTCATCTCACAGTTGGCCAAAAATTCTAAAGTTAATCAGGACACTCCATGGGCAAGGCTATTTTCTTTTGATTGGTGTTGCAGGATATATCTTCTTTTTCTGCCATTTAACTTTCATCCTTTCCATGTCCTTATATTTGAGTGTCTCTTATACACAGCACAAAATTGAGTCTTGCATTTTTTATCCAGACTGACAATCTCTGCCCTGTAGTTGGAGTGTTTATTCTGCTTACATTTAATGCAACTACTGATAGGGTAGTTTGGAGAATATCATATTGCTATTCGATTGGCTTTTAGTCATATCTCTAAGTATTATTGTAGTGGTTACTCTAGGATTACAATATGCCTCCTTCACATATCACAGTCTACTTTGAATTAATGTTATACCACTTCATGTAAGAACTTTGTAATGATGTATTTCCATTTATCCTTCCTCCCAGCCTTTGAGTTATTTTTGTCATACATTTTACCAAAATGTGTCATAAACCCTAAAACATTTTTTGTCTTGAATAGTCGTTACTCTTTGAAAGAAATTTATATAAAGTCTTTTAAATTTAGTCACGATTTACATTTTTTTTTTTCTTTTTTCCTTCCTGCCCACAATCGGGATCATCTTTCAGCCTGCAGAACTTCTTTTAGTATTTCTTGCTGCTCACGTCTGACGGCAACTAATTTTCTTATCTTTGTTTTTCTGAAAATGTCTTTATTTTGTGTTCATTTTTGAACAGTATTTTCACTGGACTAGAACTCCAGAAATAGGTTACTTATTTCTTGTTTACTTTCTACCATTTAATAATGTCATTTCGCTGTCTTCTGACTTCCATTATTTCTGAAGGGAGCTCTTTGTTATTCTTGTTGTTGTTTCTCCCAAAATAATATTTTCCTCTCTGTCTACTGTTAGCTTTTTCTTTTTTTTTTTGTGAGGAAGATTAGCCCTGAGCTAACACCTGATGCCAATCCTCCTCTTTTTGCTGAGGAAGATTGCCCCTGGGCTGACATCTGTGCCCATCTTACTGTATTTTATATGGGACACTGCCACATCATGGCTTGACAATCAGTGCACCGGGGATCCGAACCTGCGAACCACCCACCGACCCACTGAAGTGGAGCGCATCCACTTTACTGCTATGCCACCAGGCCAGCTCCTCAGTTTTTTCTCTTTCTCTTTGGTTTTCACCACTTTGACTATTATGTGCTTAGACATGGCCTTCTTTGTCCTCCCTGAGGTTCACTGAGCTTCCTTTCACATCTGTGGATGTGGAATGTCATCTAGCAATAGGCCTATGATAAAACGGAACCCGTTGCTGCACTTCTTTTGTGGTGAAATATGTTTGTTGATCAAAAGCTGTGTTGTGTGGGATACCAAGACAGGAAATAAACCCTGTGAGTTCTGGTCCACAAAGAGGGGGCCCGGCAGAAGTATGGTGGTGGGCGAGGGAGGCAGAGCCATGGCAAGACAAGTTCCCAAACAGATGAGAAAGATCTCGCATTTCTCTGGGCCTCTCTCCCCCAGGAGCTGGCTTGGCAGTTCTCTCCCCGCCATCCTGGGACCTGACTCTTCTTGTGGGGCTGGAAGGAAGGAGGGGTGGTGGGAGTGGGTTTGGTGAGTAGAGGCATTTCTTTGAGGTCATTACAGAGATATTTTATTTATTTTTATTTTTAAATTTTCATTACAGAGATTTTTAAGCAAGAGAAAGATTGCTTCCTTGAAGGCAGGGGTGGGGAGGGTGACACTTCCACAGACAAAGGAGATTTGAAGGAATCAGCATGTTTAGGGTCCTTACCCACCTCCATCCACATGTGCCCGTGAACAGACTTCAGCTCACTGAGTAAGATGTTTTGAGTAGTTGTCACAGAGTGGCTGCACAGGAGCCCGAGGTCCTCTCTCCTGGTTGACCTCTGAGAGAATCTTACCTCTTACTCAGGGATGCCGGGAGGTCAGCACAAGGCGGGTGTTAGACGACATGTCAGGCCTCTCATTGGCCTGGCAGTCAAGGCCTGGGCTCAGTCCAGGCTCTGTCCTAACTCTGTGGTACCTTCAGTTGGTCACTTCCCCCTCCTGCGACATTGTCTCCCTGTCATCTCTCAAAGGAGGATGAAGACCTACAACAGGGATTCTCAGACGTGCTTTAACCACAGACCCATTTCCTCAAAGTCAATGTTATAACTAAATTAAATATGCATGTGGCTGGGTAACTTTTTAAAATATTATTTTTGTTTTGTTTTCTGCATTTTCCTTTTTGTCTTTTTCCATCAAGGAGCCAGGTTCTTAGTACGTCTTAGAAGCAGGGATGTTTTTTCGGCTCCAAGTCATGAGCTGCGTGACATCACCGCTCTTCCCTTGTGAAAGTGCCCATGGTCATTAAGAGACCTGGTTGCTGCATGCTTTGTGCACGACAAGATGGGAAGGGCTGTGCCTTGGAGTGTTACACGATCCCAGAGTATTTACCCCTCATCATGAGAGGGTAGTGCTGTTTGTATTTGGGGCAGGAGGGCATTAGCCCAGAGCTGGAACATATGCTCAGCCCCCAGGCAGTGCCCCATATTAGTGGCAAGACCTTGGAGAGATGGCGGCTGGGAGTGTTTGGCGAGGTGAACCCAACACAGAGAGATCCTCATTCAGCAAAGAATCACGTACTCTATGTGCGGCCTCCAAGCCAAAAACCTCCTAAAGTCGAAAAGTCTGGGTGGTCTTGGAAACGATGGATGCAGAGTAACCATGATGGCTTACAGACTAGAGGCCTTTCTCCATTTTTCCAGACTGTGGGAGCCTCACAGGTTCTAGTTTGATTCTGCGTAGGCAGGAGGTGCAGGAACTACAGGGATCATGTCTCTGGCTGGTCCAATTGGACGGGAGTTTAGAGTCAGACTCTAATTGCCTTTAAGCAAATGCATCATATAGTTTTTCCTACCATTTGAATCTGGACAATGATGTTCATAGCTGCTGCTTTTAAAGCAAATGAACATAACGCTGCGCTTCCTGTCTTCTTCCTCCCCCCCCATCTGCCCTCTCCTCTAGGTGAAGAGGATGCTCCAGTGAACCGAGCTTAGTAACTTCACGTCTAGAAACTAAATGACTAATGTCATTTCCAAATCCCATACATGCTGTTCTAGAGTCACATGTGATAACGTTCATACAGACTGTAATCAGCAATAAAAATATAATACTTTATTCCTGTGGATTTCCCACATAGATCTAGGCCACACGGACTCACGTGAAGGAGAGAGAGCGAGTTAGATGATTTGGGTGAAGATCACTGTCAGTGTCACTCAGGTCTAGATGACAGAGTCTGTGTTAGGTTCACTGTGTACCCCAGGGCCGAGCACTTAGGTCCTTGATCAGCCCGTGTTTGTTGATTGATGGACAACCTGTGCTTTCCAGTCCTACTGTGGAGAGTAGCCCCTGCCAACTCAAATGGCTGATACAGCTCTCAGTGGCCAGCAGGGGTCTTCCCCTAGAGGCCAGCAGGGACTAAGAGGGACAGGCTGAAAGGGACTCAGGCTACCGAGTGACCAGGTGGCAGGGGGACCCTGAGCACAAGGGGGGACATTGGGCTGGTTGTGAGGGGTTGAGGTGGCCCTGCCAGGTGAGAGGTGGGGACATAGGTTCTGGATAGACACCCGCCTGCCCTGTCCTCCATGGGCCCTGCCTGGTGCCATCACAGGCCTGGTCCTCTGTAGCCCTCTCTGCCAGGGCACAAGCTGGGCTGGGATGTCAGTGGGGAGGCCCTGCTGGAACCACATGGAGCTCTGGGGGTCCAGGGCAGGAGGGCTGTGAGGAAGGGGCCAGCTCAGAGCAGTATTGTCTGGAGAGGACAGGAGTTGGTGGACTCTGAGGACTCTCAGTGGTAAGCAGGGATGGAGAAGAAGGGGTAGCCAGGAGATTGGAGGCCGAGCTGGGCCCCAAGCTCAGAGGAGGGCAGGGAGGAAACTCGGCCTAGGTGAGAACAAGAGCTTCTCAAGAGGCCCACCCCACTCCGTGCCAGCTCCCCGGGCTGTGGGAGAGAAACGTCCTGTTCAGGCAGCCCCTCCCCTCCCCTGTGCTGGGAGCTGTGCCCTTGTGCTGCAGCCCAGGCTGTGCCTACTTGGTGTCCGGGACCCACAGTGTTATCCCCCTTCCTCTCTGCTATATAACACTGGGAAGGAGGTAAGAAGTTCACCCTGAGCCCCGAGACCAGAGAGGTTCATATTTTTTCCTTTGGTGATCAGCCTCAGCCCTGGCAGAAGGGCAGGCCCTGGAGAGACACGTGTGGGTAAGACGGAGCTGGGTGACGGCTTCGTGTGGGGTTTGGGGGACGTGGTGGTGGGAGGGGGACGAGGAGGAAGCAGAAAATAGCAGATTTGTGTCATTGGCCTTCTGAGCACAGAGTTGGTGCCTGTGAATGAGGGTCAATGAATCAACAAGAAACCAGCCCTTCCCACTCAGCTAAGAGACATTTATTTAGTTTCTGGTGTGATTTTGGGTGAGCTTCAGAGAAGATGGTCTGGTTCCTGCAGTTAGAGGCTTTTCATGGTTTTCTTTATCCAGGGCAGGAAACTCGAGACTTTGGTGTAGGCCCGTGGAGGTGACCCGTCACTTCGTCCATAGGAGACAATGCCCTGGATCACGTTCTTACACAGGAGAGGGCCCCCGGAGTCCCCCTGTGGACAGAGAGGGGGAAGGACTGAGCTAGTTCTCCTCCTGGTCCTGCCCTCCCTGCCCTCCCAAACCCCCTCTCAGAGAAGGCCGCCTGCATGGCCTCCATGTGGGAGATCAGAGGGGAGGGCGGCCCCTGTGGGCCCCTCAACTGCCCAGTCCTGACCCTGGACATTGTCACTGTTTCACTTCACTCAGGTGGTGGCTCCGTCTCCTCACCCAGTCCCAGATCCTCTCTCTATGAAGGTGCTGTGGGACTGTGCTTCAATCTGCTGTTTAAGGACACTGAAGCAGGCAGGTGGGGCCAACACTCAGCCTGGAGGGAGAGCCCATCAGCCAAGATGGGTGCCAGCTCTGAGGAGCCACCTGGTTTTAACTGCTGCACAGCAGGGAGCAGTTTCTCACAGCTGTGCCCAGCGTGGGACAGAGTGTTGCACATTCATCGCCTGGGGGGAATGCCATGTGTGGATCCATCACAGGCCTCTGGGGGGCTCGCAGAAGCCCCGTGACTCCCTACTCAGGCTGCTCCCCACTTCTCCTCCCAGGAGAAAGATCAGAGTCTAGGGCGTGAAGGAGACCGCACTCTATGGGTCTCTAGGTCCCAGATCTCCAGAAAACTGCCCTCTCCTCAGAGCCAAGCTAGGCAGTTGCACTGTCTCACCTTAAAGGAAGACTTCTTTTCCTTCGGGTCCCCCGCGCACAGCTGAATGGTACTGTTGTAATAATTGCGTAAGTGAGATTCGCACTCCTGGTCCTTCTGTATGGTCAACTCCACCTCCTGCAGTGTGTCTGAGTATGGGCCCTTCTGATAGACTTGCCCCCAGCCGGCCACACTGCACACCTGTCCGGGCCTCACCTGGGCCTTGCCCCAGGGCAGGCTGAGGGGCCTCACAGCTGCAGTCTGCTTGGCCTTTCTTGCCAGCTGATGAGAAGAGACAAGAAAGTCCAGCTCAGCCAATGGCCTCCTGGGTCTGGACACCACGATGGGGCTGCACTGTCTTCCCTCTCCCCTGAGCCACTTGGGACTAGTCAGGTGGCCAGGACGGGAAGGAGAGATGGGACAGGTTGCAATGGGAGGGGAAACCATCTGGACCCAGGAGAGCAAGAGCAGGAGAGATGTTTCCTTACCTTTAGTAACATGATGTCGTTGGAGAAATTCTTAGAATTGTAGTCCTGATGGCAGATGGCTTTGCTCACAGGGATGGCCTGCTGAGTCTTCTCCTGCTCCTGGATGTTGTGGGCCCCCAGGGTGACACTGATTGAGCTGCACAGAAAGCAGAGTGGGAATGCAGGGAGTGTGGTGTCACAGGAGATCCAGCCCAAGACCCATGAAGGGCAGGTGACAACCGGGACAGGGCAGGGCTGCAGCTAGGGGAAATCGAGGTAACATGAGGGCTGGGTGCTGAGTGGCTCTGTGCTCTGTACTTCTCAATGACACTGAGGGCTGGGCTTCTGGAAGCTTTCTCTTGCCCTCAGGCAATTTTGTGAAATACTGTGAGTTTGCATTTTGACCCTCATGCAGGCTTTCATCCTCCATAGCTGCTTTATTTGGCCAGTGTGGTCTCTCTTCTCAAGTGGGCCACTAACTCTCACCTTGGACCTCTGACCCCAAAGCTTACCTGTTCTATTTCTCACTTTCCGTCCCCCAGTCGTGCTCTCATATGGCTCTTCTGATGAGCTCTCATGCCTTGAGTTACCCTGAGCCGGGGGGTCAGCTCCCCTAGGCTGAAGCCCTTGGGCAGAGAACAGGGGTCCCTGTGGGGGTCTCAGGAGTCTTCAGTGTCTGCAGCCCCTCACCTTCCCCAGCAGTGAGCAGCTGTCAGAACAAAGTCCTTTCGCACAAGGACACCGCCACACCTGTACTGTCTCTCATTCGCCAGAAACTGAACGAAAGCCATGTAGGGGCGGGAGTGGGGCTTGGTCTCGTGTCCCCCGATGATCTGCCCTGAAGGAAAGTCTGATCTGCTTGTGTGCACTCAGAGAGTCCACAAGGCACGTGTCGGCTGGATGGCTCAGGACTTCTGTGCATCTGGGAGCCCAGGATGGTCTGGAGTTGGGAAGGGCTGGGAGGAGCCTCAACTTCCTCCTCCAGAAAGGGGAAGAGGAGCAGGCTCAGTCTGTGAATCTGTCCTCCATAGATAATTGGAAGTGAGCATCTTGTCTTAGAGACAGCGAAGTCCTAGAGGCTCCTGAAAATTCCTCTCCTGACTTTGCTTTGTTTCCCGTGCATTTCTAAGGCCCCCATCTAAGGATAGTGCTGCTTGCCAGTGGCCAGGACTTAAGTTTAGGATCTAGATGTTGTCATAGCCTGTTTCTTAGGGCCTGACAGGTAGTGAGTGCCTAAGAAGTGTCTGTTGGCTGCATGAAGGAATGGCCCCCCATGGGCCTCTGGATGAGGGCTGGTAGGGCCAGTGCTGGTGGGCTTCTGGAAAGCAGAGAAGTTGGAGTCTGCCGAACAATGGCTCCATCCTTGAAAGAGGGGAGCTGCTACAGGCCTGGGAAGAAAAGCAGAGTTGGAGAAGGGACAGAGGGGCCTTGGGACTGAGCACGGCACCAGCAGTCCTCTGAGGACAGTGGTCCCACCAGCTCCGGGTTCTGCTGAGCTCTGAGCTTCTCTCCTGAGTGGACGCAGAGGGTAGCATCTGTCTCATCCCCGACAGGGAAGCCAGGCCCACTCTGCCCTCTGCAGGGGGATTTATTATTTTCTCTTTTCCAGTTTCCCTCACTCTGCCATGCACTTCTAGGTGAATTTCACTTTCCAGATGGCAAACGTAGGGCCTGGGGACAGAATAGCACCTACTGGCTCTTCTTCAGAACAGCCTTCTGCCCTGTCATTCCTGCTGGTAGCTTACCCAGCATCATACTCAGGGGTCTGAGGTGGGCTTCAGAGCGTTGCTGCTAATAGATGGGTCAGGAATGGGCAGAAGGGGCAGGAGATCTGGGCCCCTGTGGGATGGGATGTGGTCTCTGAGGGTGGGGATGGTCACTCACCTGCCTTTGCCCTGGGGGGCAGTAAAAAGGCCAGCAGGAGCAGGAGAGGCTGCATCATTCCAGGGACGGTGACCAGGTGGGAGCTGCTGGTACATTCTCCTTGCTCTCTTATAGCCCCCAGGAGAGGAAGGAGGTGCAGGTGGGCTCAGTGACCTCCAGTCCCCCTAGGGTTGTGTGGTGCTTCATCATAGGTGGCTTTCCACGAAACCTTCCCTGCCCCCGCCTTCTCTGCCTGATGACGTCCTCTGGGTGGTTGTGTGAGAATCACGTGGTGACCACATCAGTGCCCACAGTGGATGACTCAGTGCAGACCACTTGTTCCAGCCCAGAGCAGGAACCCAAAGGTACAAGGTGGAGACTGTGGGCTGTGGTATTGACCAGTAGAGGTGTTGGAGCCCCCGAAAGCTGAGTCCTCAGTGATAGAACCACCAATGCCTAATTTCCTTGTTGCTAAGTCCATCCGGATAATTTCTTTAGCAGATGTGTGTCTGGGCCCTTCTCTGTGCTACGACTAAGCACACTGGAGATGTGTCTCCCTCCCATAGAGAGCTGACTGTCTGGTGGAGGAGACAGAAACATCGGTGACCAGAACGCAGTATGGGAAGGGCCATGGTAGAAGAATGCACAATATGGGAACAGAGAATGGCCACCATCTACCCATTCCATATAGCAACCCATTCATCCTCACAGCTTCCTTCCTAGGGGTTTTTTAACGTCTCTTTTTAAATTACAAACACTCAGTGTGATAGAGTCCATCTCTCTTGTCAATGTTTTTAAGAAAAGTCCCGAACCTGACCTTTATTGGCCTAAATTAACAAATCATTGTGACCCTAGGAATTGAATCCACTGATTGACTTAAGCCTAGGTCATTCCTACTTTGGGTGGGCTGGAGTCGGTCCCACCCAAAGCACAGGAACTAAGACTGGGAAAGGTCTGGTTCCCCAAAGGAAATTCAGATGAGTAAATTGCAGGTACCATGTGAAGTGGGAAAGCATGCTGGGCAACCAAAGACCAGTGATTGTCCTTTCAGTGTTCTCTGTCCTCTGTCCAGAGAGCCACACTTCTGCTAGAGCCGGCCTGGCACATATTAGACTCACATTTGCTAAAGAAGCTCTGCTGATGATCTCACTACAATGGAAGTGAAGAACCGTTGTTTCCAAACAGCCCAAGCCCAATCCTGTTCAAAGGACAACTAAGTATCTCGGAGTGGTTAGAGTCTGCTGACTTCAGTTTCCATCTTACATTTTCTGTACTTTACAATTTTTCTATGAGGAATATTCTGTATCAAAATACAGAAATCCAGTGTAAATATCCTGCTTATCAAACCAAGTACATTTACCAAACTTATACTTTTTTGAACTTAGATTGCCCTGAAGTAGACATTTTAAATATAAAATTACTTTTCTGATTATAGTGGTAATAGATATTTATTAATAAAATTTAGAAAGTAGAGGGGAACAATGCCACTCATCTGTCTCTCTCCCACAGACATATCACAGTATATATACAATGCAATTTTCTTTTAGCCTCACTTCACTCTACAGCTTAAGCATTTTCCTCATGCTCTTAAAAATCTATTAGTCAATATCGTTATAATCTCTCTTTCCTAGTTACAAAAAAATTCAACATGCAATTGTTTCCTAACATTGTGGGAAAATTTTAAAAATAATTTAAGCAAAAGGGAACCAATAAAAATTACCTGATTTCCCATCATTCATTGATAGTCATCTTTAATGTCTTGAAGTATGATCTAACATATTTTTCTCTTGTGTATATCTGTATTTTTAAAAATTAAAAGGGGATTATGCTAAAGGGTCTATGACCCTTTATTAAAAATTGAGGTGAAATTCACATACGATACAATTAACTATTTTAAAGTATAATTCAGTGGCATCTAGTGCATTCAAAGTGTTGTGCCACTACACCGCTCTCTTGTTTCCAACCTATTTCATCACCCAGAAGAACATGTGTCCATACCCATTAACCTGTGGGTCCACACTTAATGAGTACTGAATCACTTCCTATTCTCCCTCTCTCACCCCCTGCCCTGCCCCTGGCAACCAATAATCCTCTTTCTATCTCTATGGGTTTGCATCTTCTGGATACTTCATATAAAAGGAATCATGCAGTATTTGACCTGTTGTGTCTAGATTCTTTCAATTAGCATAATGATTTTGAGGTCCATCCAAGCTGTGGCTGATATCAATATTCATTCTTTTTTATGGCTAAATAATATTCCATTGTATGTATATACTACAATTTATCCATTCATCTGTTTGATAGACACTTGGGTTTTTTCTGCCTTTTGGCTATTATGACTAATGCTGCTACAAATATTTGTGTATGAATTTCTATGTGGATGATATGTTTTCATTTCTCTTGGACACATACTAGGAGTGGAATTGCTAGGTCATGTGGTAATCCTATGTTTCAGCTTTTGAGGAACCATCAAACTGTTTACCACAATGATGGTAAACATTGTGGTAAACAGTACACAATGGTACTGTTGCACCATTTTATATTCCCACCAGCAATGTACAAGGGTTCCTATTTCTCCACATCTTCATTAACACTTGTTCTTTTTCTTTCTTTCTTTCTTTTTTTTATTATAGCCATCCTAGTTGTTATGAAGTGGTATCTCATTGTGGGTTTGATTTCCTTATAGACTAATGATGTTTAGCTTCTTTTCCTCCATTTGCTGGTCATTTGTATATCTGTGGAGAAATGTCAGTTCAAGTCCTTTGCCCATTTCTTAATTGAGTTGCTTGTCTTTTTGATGTTGAGTTGTAAGTGTTCTTTATATATTCCAAATATTCAACCTTTATGAGATATGTGATTTGAAAATATTTTCTCCCATTCTGTTGAGTGTCCTTACACTTTCTTAATACTATCCTTTAGTACACAAAACTTTTTCATTTTTATGAAATCCATTGTATTTATTTTATCTTTTGTTGCTTGTGCTTTTGGTGTCAAGTCTAAGAATCCAGTGCCAAATCAGAGGTCATGAAGATCTACCCTATATTTTCTTATAAGAGTTTTATGATTTTAGCTCTTATATTTAGGCTGTTGACTCAATTTGAATTAATTATTGTGTATGAAGTGAGGTAGGAATCCAGCTATAATCTTTTCATGTGGTTATCTTGTTGTCTCAGCATCATTTATTGAAGATATTATTCTTTCCTAACTGAATGGTTTTGGCACATTTGCCAAAAATATTTGGCCATAGATGTTTGGGTTTATTTCTGGCCTCTCAGTTCTCTTCCATTGGTCTAAATGTCTATCCTTATGCCAGTACCACAATGTGTTTGATTGCTCTAGCTTTGCAGTAAGTTTCGAAACCAAGAAGTGTGAGTCCTCAAACCTTTGTTTTTCTTTTTTAATGTGATTTTGGCTATTTGGGGCCCTTTGTAATTCCATATGAATTTTAAGATTGGCTTTTCCATTTCAGCAAAAAATGCCATTGGGATTTTGATGGAAATTGCATTCACTCTGGAGATTGCTTTGGGGAGTATTGCCATCTTAACAATGTATGTCTTCCAATCCATGAACATGTGTTGTCTTTCTATTTAATTAGTTCTTCTTTAATTTCTTTCAGCAATGTTTTGTAGTTTTCAGTGTATAGTTTGTTCACCTCCTTGTTTAAATTTAGTCCTGGGTATTTTATTCTTTTGGATGCTATTGCAAATGGAATTGTTTTCTTAATTTCCTTTTTGAATTGTTCATTGCTGGTATATAGAAACACAACTGATCTTCTACCCGTCAATGTGTTGAATTCATTTCTTAACTCCTGTTCAGCTCCACCCCCCTTTATGTTGTTATTGTCACATATTACATCCTTATATGTGTGTGCCCATTAACACAGTTTTATTATTACTGTTTTATGCATTTGTATTTTAAATCACATAGGAAACAAAAAGTAGAGTTACAAATCCAAAATACGATAATTCTAGGTTTATATTTATCTACGTAGTTACGTTTACAAGAGATCTTTAATTCTTCATTTGGCTTCAAATTGCCATCTTTTGTCCTTATATTTCAACCTGAAGGACTCCCTTTAGCCTTTCTTGTAGGGCAGGTCTACTAATGATGGATTTCCTTAGCTTTTGTTTATCTGGAGATATGTTTATTGCTCCATATTTGAAAGGCACTTTTGCTGCATACAGAATTCTTGGTTGACAGGTTTTTTTTCCTCTCAGCACTTTATTTTATTTTATTTTTTTGATGAGGAAGTTTAGCCCTGGGCTAACATCTGTCACCAATCCTCCTCTTTTTGCTGAGGAAGACTGGCGCTGGGCTAACATCCATACCCATCTTCCTCCACTTTATATGGGATGACACCACAGCATGGCTTGACAAGCAGTGTGTCTGTGTACGCCTGGGATCTGAACCCCAGGATGCCACAGCAGAGCACAAGCACTTAACCGCTACGCCACTGGGCCGGTCCCTCTGTCAATGCTTTAAATACATCAATCTACTGCCTTGTGGCCTCCATGGTTTCTGATGAGAAATTGACTGTTAATCTTATTGAGAATCACCAGGTCCGTGATAAGTCACTTCTTGCTGCTTTCTAGATTTTCTCTTTGTCTTTTGACGGTTTGATTATAGTGTGTCTTAGTGGGGATCTCTTTGAGTTTATCCTGCTTGGAATTTGTTGAACTTCCTGGTTATGTATATTCCTATGTTTCATGAAATTTAGGAAGTTTTTGGCCATTGTTTCTTCAAATATTTTTTCTGATCCTTTCTTTTTCTCCTTCTAGGACTCCTGTAATGCATATATTGGTATTTTTTATAGTGTCCCATAGGTCCCTTAGGCTCTGTTCATTTTTCTTCATTCTTTTTTTCCTCCTGCTCCTCCAACTGACTTATGTCATTTGCCCTGCAAGTTCGTTGATTCTTTCTTCTGCCTGGTCAATCTACTGTTGAACCCATCTATTGAATTTTTCATTTTAGCTATTGTACTTTTTAGGTCCAGAACTATAATTTCTATATTTTGTGGATATTCTCTACTTTTTCATACACTGTTCCTGATTTCCTTTTGTTCCTTTCATGGTTTTCTTCAGATATTTGAGTATTTTTA